GGTGACTCAAAGCCAAAATAATTGGCCAGGTGATTGCCCAGGGCCCGTGTTTTTCACCCCACTGTGCTGCTGCCTGGTAGAAGCCACCCGTGAAAGCATCTGTATCATGTCTGCTTTCAGTGTGGGGATATGGCACCGAGGGATGCCACAGTCCTAGCCTGTTTTCACTACTATGTGATGTGCCAGGCAGGCCTGCAGGGCTGCTTGGATTATCATATGTACTCCGTTGAATGACCCTATAAGGTGGGCACTGTTCCGATCCATGTTGCACAGAGGAAGAAAGGGGGATTGGCAAGGGTTAAGTCACAGCTGGTACGTGGTGGGGTCTGCACCTGGACTCAGGCCTTTTGGTCCTGTATCACTCTGTTGAGATGCCTCCCTGTTACCTGAACAGCAGGCAACAGGTAACATAGCACCCACCACCCCACAACTCAATATGTGTTTTTCCAGGCTGCATTCTTGGAGAGGAAGTTTAGGGACAGGGTTAAATTGTTTTAAAAAATAAGTGAACCTCTGATCATTTTTATGCTTCAGATTTTATTGAAGTTTGACAATCTAATTTTAAGAAACCAATATTAAAATTAATTGCAGAGGACCCTGATATTCTGTTTGTTACAGGAAACAAAAGGAGATGAGATATTGCATTGTTCTGTACACCAGAAACTAATAATAAAAAGAAAAAAGAGATGAGAATACTTCTTTTTCCCCTTCATTTGTACTAAAGCTACTATAGAACACCATTAACAAATGCTGATCCAGAGACAAATAACTTAGTTGGCATTTAGGCCCATTAAAATCAGGTGTTTGCAGTTTTTGTATTTTATTTTAAGGAAGAGCAGCCAGGCTAGCAAAAATTGTATTAAGCCAATAAATTTGTCATCAGTGTCTCTTGGATACTTGGATGGATTTGCTGACAAATCTCGAGATCAACATGGCTTTCTGTCACTCACCTTTGCTTTAAGCGTGAGCACCCGCGGGGCTGGCGTTCTGGTCTGAGCAGGACGCCTGGAGGCCCTGGCGGTTAGATTTAGTGCAGGGGACCTGCCGGCTGGTCTGGCACCTTGTACACCTGTCAGTCATCAGTTTGCACATTCAGCTCTCCTAGTCCTGCGGAAATGAACTGTCACTCCTCATCCAGAGAAACTTGTTGGACTTTACAGGGAGGTTTTCGAAGCCCTTTGTGGTCACCAATCTGTGAAAGTTTTGAGACTAGTGGCTGACTGTTGTATAAATGGGTGTGTGTGGGGAAAGTTTAGGAAATAACATTTACATGGACTTTTTAAACACAAAAATGTGAATATTATGAAGTTTTAAGAATATTTTTATTCTTCAGGCTTCCTTTTCTCTTTCTTGACACTTTCAAGTGAAAGAGATTATCTTCAAGTAAGAATGAAAATGAGATTCCCGCCCCCCCCACGAGATATTTGAGTATTTTTGCAGTACCGTTGGATCATATAAGCTACAGTACTTACCAGGGGCATTAAAGTTGTGGCTCATGGTAAGAGCTGAAAATATGTACAGACACTTGTTAATTAGGGGTAAAGGTGATTATGGAGAAAGTATTTCCAGATCCTATTTTTAGTGAATAGTTTGGTATACCCTTCTCTCAGGAGAATATAATTTTAAAAATTTGCACTCAAGTTTCTCCCCCCCCCGCCCACTTCCTTTTAGTCCTATTTTATGGTAAAGGAACTTGACAACAGTGACTAGTAGGAGGAAGGACAAAGAAACAGTTACGTTGAAAATCACAAATGCTTGCTTATTTTCTGACATGTTAATTTAAACCTTTGGGGCTCTCTTTTCAATTTCCATATAACTACATTTAAAAGGAGCTTTTAAATGCTTAGTAATTTTATTTTTGCTTATACAGTAAATTGTAGTGAGGAGGATGAAAAAAAAACACCCCACCACTTAGAAATAATCATTGTCAATATTCTGATGCGTTTTAATGGTTGTTTTCATTTGCTCCAAGCTCTTTGAAGGAGCAATGTTACTTTCAAATTTTCAGAATAGTTTTTATTGCATTTTTACATATTTTTTCCTACTTAGTTCTTATTACTTTTCATGAATATACATATCTTATGCACATAAAAAGACTTTTAAAATAAAACTGATTCTTACATCTTCTTAGCATCTTTCTAGTTTGGACACCTGTGTATTGCTTTGACTATCCACTGCTCTCATCTTTTCCCTCCCAGCAGGCTCCTCGGGTCTCTGTTCTCAAATTTGCTAGGCTTTAGTCTGTCTTCTGTAACTGGAGCAGAAACAATTTTATTTCAGAGTCGGGAATTAATAAAATTTCTAGTTTGTGTCAGTTGCCTTTTTACCTCAAGTATATGGCTTGTTTGCCATTTTTTTCTTGTAATTCACACACTATACAGTTCACGCATTATAATTCAGTGGTTTTTAGTATATTCGTAGTTCTGTGACCATCACACAATCAATTTTAGAACATTTTCCTCACCCCACAAAGAAACCCCGTACTCATTAGCAGTCACCCCTCATTTTCCTCCAAACGCTAGCTCCGTTAGTCCAAGGCAACCACTAATTTACTCTGTCTCTATAAAATTTGCTGAATTTTTCTCAACATTTCTTATAAATAGAATCATACAATGTGTGGCTTTTTTTTTTAAAGATTTTATTGGGGAGTTGGGGGAGGGGAAAGGCATTGGGGAATCGGGGGAGGGGAACAGACAAGTTGCTGTCCTTTTGTTCTTCAGTCTAGTTGTGGAGGATGTCACTTCACTGGCCCATGTTGGTATTATCATTGTGCTCTTCCCGGGTGAGGCAGATCGATCACCGGCCACTGGACGGCTGCTCATGGTGGTTCTTGGCAGCTCACACTGGCTGCCGACCGCTCACGCCGGTTGCCAGCCACTCACAGTAGTTTATGGCAGCCCACTGCAGGTTCACTGCAGCCTACGCCGTTGCCGGCGACTCACGGCAGCCCAGCTCCAGGTCGAGCTGTTGTTCACCATCTTAGCTATAGAGGGCGCAGCGTCACTGGCCCTCATGTGGGATCCGAACTGAATCTGCTGCTCACAGCTGGTGTCCCAAGCCAACTCAACCAACGCGCCACTCGGCCAGCCCAGTGTGTGGCCTTTTGTAACTGACTTCTTTTTAGTTAGCACAGTGTTTTTAAGATTCGTGCCTATTGTAGTATGTGTCAGTACTTAGCTCCATTTCATTCCATTGCATGGATATAAATGCAAAAAAATGTATGGATAAACCACATTTTATTTATACTTCCATTAACTGATGGACATTTGGGTTGTTTTCACTTTTTGGCTGTTATGAATAATATTGCTATGAACATTTGTGTACAGATTTTTGGTGGACATTTCTTTTTCTCTTGGGTGTATACCTAGGAATGGAATTGCTGGGTCATTATAGTAAATCTATGTTTAGCCTTTTGAGGACCTACCAGACTGTTTTCCAACGCAGTGTGCCATTAAAAAAAAAGTATCTATACAATGGAATGAAGAATCGGGGGGGTTCAAATAAATGAGACCATGGCTATTCTTTCTTTTGAAAAAACACCCTTTAAAGTTTCATAGGCTTATGTTCCATGTCTGTGTATCTTATTTGCTGTATCTCATTGCCTTAATAGATAACTGCATCATTTTCCATATTTAGTTTCTCATTAGACATCTGTTTAAAATTTTAGCTCTAGATGGACACAGATAGATACCAACTTTTAAAGTAAAATCATTTATTTTTAATTTCTTAAACAGCAGCAGCAACATCAGCCCTTAATCTTGGTTGTGAAATGTAAGTTGTAGAGTAATAGAAAACCTGGGGAAGCTCCGTAGGGCTGTGGTGGTTTTCTTTTTGAGGCCGTGTGTATCAGTGTGTGATAAGGGCGTAAGCACAGATAGCACGGGACTGGCTGGGCCTCTGGAAACGGGAAGGTGATCCCTCTCTCAGCGCTCTGTGTTGTAATCTCAAGAGCTCTGATTAAACAAAGCATTTTAGGACTGGAAGGAGTCCCAAAACGTAATTTTCTCTATCTCTATTTTGTGGTAGGACTAAATGTAACCTTTTAAAAAAAGATAGTGGCCCACACATTTTTTTCTAAATGTAATTATATGGAAGACTCTAAAATATTCATTGAAAATGTTTATGTTCAAAGTAATTTTAAATGTCTATTTAGATAAATCAGTTTTAAGACTTAGTACCTCTGGACCCAGAGAGTGTGTTTTTATGTTGACTTCATTAGTGTGTGTGAGGGTAGGAGGAAAGGAAGTGTTTGAAATGTCCTGCTTTTTAAGATTCCCAGTAGAATCTTGACATCTTCTAAACCGAAACACTCAATTAACTAGCATGGATGAATATTTAGCACAGATAGCTGTGAAGTAATGCCCCTGAAGCATATAGCAAATGTATATTTTGTGATATTTTTAACTTTAGATGCCAATTTTTAAGGAATTAATAAACTTGAACCAGAACATTTTACTCTTCAGTTATATTAGATTAGAACTTACTGTAATTACGATCCTAACCTGAATTTTCCACCCCTAAATCCTAAGAATGTCCTGTCCTGTATTCTTTGCTTCTCCTCAATTGTAGCTTTCAAATCACTGAACGCACAGCTGTGTTTCCTAATATCAGTTGTCTATTTGGTCATTTTACTGACTCTTGAGGTTTACTTTTAACCACAGTGAATGAGCGGTGGTGTTTACTTCTACACTCATACGTGAACATTTAACAAGTAGATATTAATAACAATGAATTCTTTCTCTCCCTAATCATTTAGCTTTGTAAGAAGCATCACTTTGGAATTAACAAACCAGAGAAGATTATACCATCTCCTGATGACTCAAAGTTTCTGCTGAAGACCTTTACACATATTAAATCCAATGTGTCTGCTCCTAATAAAAAGAAAGTAAGAGTTTGACTGACACGGGCCGGGCATTGCTTTGATTAGCCTTAAATTGAGGGGTCATTTTGCAACCGGTAAACTTATTTTCAAACCACTTGTCATAGTCCAGCACTGTCTCTGCCTGTTGCTGGGGTTATTTTCACTCCTTTGCTAGAAAGGTGTCTCTTAGCCATATAGTTCTTTACATGTAATTCCTGCAGTGATAGTAGATTCATTTCTTACAGGTTAAGGAAAGTAAAGAAAAGGAGAAGTTGGAGAGGAGATTACTTGAGGAGTTGCTGAAGATGTTTATGGACGCGGAATCCTTTTACTATAGCTTGACCTATGACCTGACCAATTCAGTGCAGAGGCAAAGCACTGGGGAGAGCGACCCCCGGCCCCTCTGGCAGAAGGTACCTCTCACGGCTCAGAGCAGGAACAGTTGACAGACGCTTTGGGTGTTAGAGGAAAACTGAAACCACATGTTTCTGAACTGTCTGTTCTCTACCTCTTCTAGGTTGATGACCGATTTTTTTGGAATAAATATATGATACGCGATCTTACTGAGATTGGTGTGAGTAGTTGTTTCTAAAATATCCTAAGGTAGTTGTTAAACAAATATTTTGAAACAATTTAAAAATCTTACTGTAACGTTTTTCCCTCTAGCATGGGAATCGGTTAGCTAGGGAAAGCCTGGGCGTGGTTTTAAGGCGGCTCACAATTCCACTGCATAGCCGCTGGCCGAGCTTCTGAGCAGGTTCTCCTCGGATGGTAGTAATCAGAGGCTGGGGAGGTGATGTCCACAGAGTTCGTACACAACAGGTGTTTTGTTTACCCATTGGAGATGCCGAAGCACAGTTTTCCCTTAGGGATACCAAGTCATTTACCTTTCCTGTTTCCTCATCTGGGAATTGGAGTCGAGAAAGCTCGAAGGACTTTGCAGTACAGCCGTGATTTGAATCAGGGAAGACAGGGAACCTGATGAGATTATTGCCTGAGATTCCTTCTAAACTGATAATTCTTTTTTTACTCTGTCACATATGTCAATTATGACTGCCCAAAGGCAATAATTCATTTATTTAGTATATCCACAAATATCTGTGGAAGGCCTGCTATGTACTAGTTGCTGTTTTGGATACAAAGTGGGCTAATGGCTGAATAAGGTCACATACTATCTTTTTCTTAACTTTTCGCAAATTTCAAACTTTTTTCTTCTATTTCTCCCGTTGGTGGTGGTTAATATAAAGGATTTGGATTATCTAGTGGTTTCTACCACTAGATATTTATCATGCCTCTATTGAGACTGAGGCATGAAAATGTTCTCACCTCTCTTAATCATGTTGAAACTATGACCACTAAATCCCTGTGATTGGGGATAAAAATAAGGCTGTCTATAATGAATATTTGTCCTGTCTGCTGACATACTATGTTCTAATGTTTTGCAGAGTTCTTGTCAGACACATTGCATTACCATTTAAAACTGATGACTTGCAATAAAGGTGGCATTTGGCAACATACATCTCTCTGTGCCTGTCAAGAGTTTTGCATTCAGTGCTACAATAGAACAAAAATACAAATAATGGGAATAGTGATAAGAATAATGTGGGTAGAGCTTTTCGATTTTCAACTCGAACCACTTCCCTAAGATCCTATTTGCAGGCTCCATAATACAAGACAAAACTGTGAGGTGGGACTTGGAGTATATGGTTATGGAGGAAGAGGGATATGAAGTGATGCTGAAGTTAGGGCTCCATCGAGCTCTGGAAATAGGAGAGAAATGGGGCACCGAGAACAGCTGTCTGTAGCGCTTTTCATCCTATACTGCCCCTGCATACAGTCAGCTGAGAAAATGGAGGATTCTTAGTCTGAGAGACACAGAAGAGGAAATCTCTAACTTTAATCAGTACTGTCCTAGATATGTTAGATGACTTTTTAAAATATTTATGGAAAGGATTTTTTGTTGTTGTTGCTACTTCATTTACTACTTGGATTTTAGCTTGGTGAGGCAAGTTTTTCTAAACTAGAAAATAGAGTAGATCTCTGTGTTTCATAATAAAGTGATCAGAGTTACTATATTTTATCAAAGGACTAATACAATTGAGAATCGAAAATCAGTCTTTAAGGTTTAGTTTTTCTATACCAACAGGTATAATCATAATTGCCACATTTATTAAATAGCTACTATAAGGGAGGCACTATGCTAAACACTTTGTACATTTTACTCATTTAATCTTCACAGCAACCTGTGTGGTAGTAGTTTTTCCTATTTCTTGAAGCAGGACGTGCAGGCACTGGTGAGTGAGGTTCATTGATTCACCCTGGTGAAGTAGTAAGTGGTGGGGCTTGAACTTGTATCCCGGCTGTCAGGCTCTTGTTCTCTGGTCACTCTCAGGCAGCTCTTTTGGAATGACCTTCATAAAAAAAAGGAAAGGCTCTCTGCTCCACCCCCATTCCTCCCTCTATTCCTTAGCGATCCCCAGTAAGCAGAAGCTACGGTTAAAGAATGGAAGGTTTCAGATTAAATATTGGGTTGTCGGGAAAGTCATGATGCATTTTTGCAATGAAAAACATAGGGAAAAAAACACGTCATGACTTTTCCAACAACCCAGTATATGGTGATGGAAGGAGAACTGACTCTGGGAAGTAAACACACAATGTGATATGTAGGTGATGTATTACAGAATTGTACACTTGAAACCTATTTAACTTGACTAACCATTGTCACCCCAATAAACTTCAATTAAAAAAGAAAAAAAAGAATGGAAGGTCTCTGCTTCTGATAAACTGACAAATACGTGCTAGCTACTGTTTGGGTTTAAGAAAGCAGCAGTGCTGTACAGATAGAAACAACGTGGTGTTCCTGTTGTTTTCAGACCCCGGATGTGGATTTCTGGATTATCCCCATTATCCAGGGTTTTGTGCAGATTGAAGAACTTGTGGTGAATTATAACGAATCATCTGATGATGAGAAAAGCAGCCCAGAGACCCCGCCTCAGGAGCCCACCTGCGTGGATGACATTCACCCACGATTTTTAGTGGCTCTCATTTCACGCCGCAGCAGGCACAGAGCAGGTGAGTAGAGGGCTGTACCAGCCTGCAGATCAGATCCAGGTGAGGATGGAAAACCTGCAGGGGTGTTGAAATGCTGATGACAATAATGGATTTGGAAACACAGTTGGCTTCAAAGTGCTCAGTGACTCTGTGATGTGATCAAAGACCAATTACTAGAGAGAGGCAAATGGGGGAGATTTAACAAAAGGAGAAAGAAATGTGATATATATATATATATATATATATATANATATCCCCTTATAAGTGAGTCAGTTATTGTAGAGGGCAAGCAATTGACTCTTTTCCAGGGCTATTGTTTTAGTTTGCTCTACTGGTCATGCTTTTTAAAATAATCACTTCCTAATCAGTTTTCTTATGTTGCTGAGGAAGTCAGATTTCTTTGTCTGTCTTTTCCTGGAGGAGCCAGGGTTGCAAAATTGACATTTTCCCCATTGCAATATGTTTAAAAAGTTGGAAAAATATCTTCATGTCATAGCACTAAATTACCTTTGTTCTTGATTACACTGTGTATCCAGATCTCAGTGTGGCAGCTTTAACTGAACAATGTTTCTTTTTCTGGTGGGTGGTAAAAATAAATACAATTGCCTGCATTGGTGCTTTAATATTGCAAAATTATGCCTGATGGATACTGGGATTGTTGAACAATAGTGATGCTATGCTTCTACATTTTTCTTGTCTTAAAACTCAAACTGTAAAAAATATATTTGGATTATTTAACCCTGTAACTAACATGCTTATTTTTGCTGGACTTTCCAGACTTCCTTCCGGGTGTTGTTATGTTTTATTTCACCTAAGGCAAAATACTTACAGAAAGAGAGATTGCTATTATTTCCCATGAGGTTTTTTTGTTTGTTTTGCTTTGTTTTTTAGGATCAGTGATTTTACCTGGAAATATCTGTATCTTATTCAAATTTTTCATTTTCTTTCCATTGTGAATATTTAAGTTATTCCTTTGAACACTAATCCAANACACACACACACACACACACACACACACACACATACACACATACATACATATACACACACACACACACACACATATATATATATATATGGAGAAACATGGTGTAAATATATGGAGAAGAGAAGAAAGTCATTTGGGTTGTGCTTCCAAAATACCGTTCTTCCCACTGACAGCCTGTATCACGGTACTAAATCCTTTCTGAGTGCTAGCACCTTTGGGAAAACCCTTCTCTTTCAGTTCACAGGATCTAGCTCAGCTTCAACTTTTAAAAAACAATGATGCATACAGTCATGGTTTGGGTAAGTGGATACAGTTCTGCCTGGCTGTTGCACATTAGATCCCCAAGGCAATCCTAAAAGACATAGAGTTGGTTAAGAAGCATAATCTAATCAGACTAAATAATTCTTTTTACATGTTGCTGTTTTCTGTTTTAATTTTCTTTTAGGGATGCGCTATAAACGAAGAGGAGTGGATAAAAATGGAAATGTTGCAAATTACGTGGAGACTGAGCAGTTAATTCATGTTCATAATCATACCTTGTCGTTTATTCAAACTCGAGGCTCTGTGCCTGTCTTTTGGAGCCAGGTTGGATATCGATACAATCCAAGACCTCGGCTGGACAAAAGTAAGCATGTCAGTTATTTGGTTGCAAATGATGATTTCAGACAGGATGTTTTCTTTAAATATTAGATACTTTGTAGATTTGGATTTGTTTTGCCAGATCCTTCATTCAAAACAATAACTCATACAGTGAAATTTAATAGTGGTATAGTAAACACAGGAGTAATAATAGCTGTTGACAATCTATGTAATTTAGCAATAAAAGAAAAATTCCCTAGCAATACAGCAAAACAGCTTATTTCAAATTTTTGTTTTTAAAGATTTTATTGGGGAATTGGGGGAGGGGATCAGACAAGTTGCTGTCCTTTTGTTCATCAGTCTAGTTGTGGAGGATATTGCTTCACTGGCCCCTGTTGGTATTGTGATCATTGTGCTCTTTCTGGGTGAAGCAGATTGGCCTCTGGCCTCTGGCTGCTCACGGCAGCTCTTGGCAGCTCACACCGGCTGCCAGCCACTCACGCTGGTTGCTGGCTGCTCACAGTAACTTATGACAGTCCACTGCAGCTCCACTGTAGCCTCCGCTGTCGCCGGCCACTCACAGCAGCCCAGCTCCAGGTCGAGCTGTTGTTCACCATCTTAGCTGTAGAGGGCAGTGTCACTGGCCCTCATGTGGGATCCGAACCCAGGCCCTGCTGTTCAGAGCTAGCGTCCCAAGCCAGCTCTTAACCAACGCACCAGTCGACCGGCCCCTATTTCAAAATTTTAATTGATGTTTCTTTGAAGAATACTTCTTTGGATGTTTAATTTTGGAAAAGGGCAAATATAGCCAATATTTGTAAAAGCAGGAAATATCTTAACAAGGTGGTGACTACAAGAAAATGTCTCACTGCGAAAGGTTTGTTGTTGTTGTTTTAAATATTGCGGATTTAATTTCTTCCAGTATTTTAACTTTAGCACTGGGAAAGCTAAGTCATGTCAATCTAATTAGATTACTGAATGAGGTTGATTTTAAAAATTGTTTGCAGAATACTTCTTTTCTCAAAACTTAATTTATATTTCTGAGGATTCAGTACAACTTGTTTTTAATATCCTTGATATTAACCACATGAAACCATTTCTGACAGTAGGCTGGCTATACAAATAATAAATGTTATAATTTCACAATTTGCACTTTATGTTTCAACTTAGTCATACTGGGGAAAAAAATCAGAGCTCTTTGGCTTAGCATTTCATTTTAAAGTACTGCTTTTAGAAAATCTTAGTTATTAATATATTTGGGCTGTCAATAAATGACTTAAAAGTAAGAGTAAAGATGGACTAGACACTAATTTCTGTGTTAAACATGGGAAGGAAACATAGATTTTGTATCACTTCTTTGTAGGTGAAAAGGAAACTGTTGCCTATTTCTGTGCCCATTTTGAAGAACAACTGAAAATTTACAAAAAACAGGTGGGCTTTGATCTGTAGTAGTAAAATGTTCCTTCATATTTAGAAATGATTGTATATCTGTTTTTTAAATTTCATGAAATAACAATGTACTATTCATAATTAAGCAAAATTGCATTTGTCATGAAGTTAAAGAACATATATAAACTATGAGTATTTTTTTATTTGTTTGTTGGTTTCTTAATAGCTTTATTGAGGTATAATTGACAACAATATAATTGACATACAATATACTTGATATATAATAAGTGATACATATTTAAAGTAAGCTACGAGTATTCTTAGTATTTTTTAGGAAATGTCACTGTCAGCTACTTTACTCCATTTTTAGATAAGATATTAGTTTACTGACAATTATTACAATCTAAGAAGTATCTAGAGTAAGAAATGAAAGGCGTCTCTCAGTACCACCCATACAGTTCCACCTTTTGGAGATAACAATTTGATATCTATCTTTCAATATCTTTTTTTCTCTGCCCACCTTTCTTATGTATTCTTATACTCATGTAGGAATGTGATCATATAAACCAAAATCCATTGAAAATTATTAGGTGAAATACAAGTTCAATAAGATGACTGGATTTCAGATATAAGATTAATATAGTCAGTAACTCTCTTATCCATCAGCAATGGCCAGTCTGAATGTGTAATGCCATGGGATGCATTTTTCTAACAGCAACAAAAATAAAATAGGAAGAAATAACCTAAAATCTAAGAAATACAAAAAAAGATACTGGGGAGGTGGGACAGTGGTGAGAGTTAATGAAGAATGCAAAAGAAAATTTGAATAAATGGAGAGAAAAACCATGTTCCTGAAAGAAAAGACTCAATACTGAATAGATTTCAGTACTTCCAAAATTCATATATAAATTTTGTGCAATCCCAAAGAAAGTCCCAGCGTGGAAATAAAATACAAACCCTAAGATTGAAAAAAACGATAAAGTTTGATAATGAGAGATAAAGGTAGGTGTGTGGGGAAATGAGAACGCTCACACACTGCTAGAGGGAGCCTAAGTTGGTACAGCCATTTTGAATCGTATTGCCTATCAAAATAAAATACGTTTATACTGTTAACCTAGTAATTTTGCTTTTTGATACCTATCCTACATACCACATAAAAAAATTAGTTCCAGATGGGTATGGATCTAAATATGTAAAGTTAAATGAAAACCTTTTAGAGGAAATAGAGAACATTTTTGTTTGTTTGTTTGTTTTGTTTTTTTTGTGGAGGGCAGTGTCACCGGCCCTCATATGTGGGATCCGAACCGGGGCCCTCTGGCATCCCAAGCCAGCTCTTAACCATCGCGCCACTTGGCCGGCCCGAGGACATTTTTTTGACCTTGGGTCTTAAACAGATCTTAAAAAGCACTAACCATAATGAAAAAAGTTGATAAAACTAACTTTACAAAATTTTTTATTTTTATTAAATCTTTATCATTTATTTTTTAAAACTTATTATAAATATTAAAATATTACATGTTTTAGATATTATTTGTCAAAACTATTAAAATGAAATAGGACTTTGACAGCACCAACTATAATGAAAAATTGATAAATTTGACTTTACTAAAATAATTTCTGATTATTAAAAGGTACCGTTAAGAGAATGGAAAGGCAGTTCCCAAAGTAGGAAAAGATATGTATTACAAAGGATTCATATTTAGACTATATAAAAACTATAAATCCATAAAAAAAAATGTACAACCCAAAAGAAAAATGGGCAAAAGACTTGAGCAGACTCTTCATAAAAAAGGATATCCAAAAGGCCAATAAACATACGAAAAGCTGCTGTACTTCATTAATCATCAGGAAAATGCAAATTAAAACCACCACACACATACACCAGAATGGCTAAAATAAAAAGATGGGAACTACCCGGCTTTGTCAAGGATGTGGGGCAACTGGACTCGAGTATAAAACTTTTTAAATCTTCCTGAGAGAAACATGTGTTCATTCAAGGAGTCATGTTCAAGAACATTGCAGCATAAAAACACCTTAGCTGTTCATCAGGAAGTCAACGGGTAAAGTACAGCACATCTAAAGTGTTAAATACAAATGCTTAAAATTGATAAAGCAGATCTGTGTGCATTCATATAATGGAGTGAGAAAACTGTAATAGTGTGTGGTATTGTTACCTCTTACAACCCACAAAACAGAATCATGCATTTATATATATACACACACACGCGTATGTAATTCTCTTCCATGTACGTATGTTCTCACACATATATGGCCTGCATGTTGATATGGGAATGCACTTCTGTGGACTGAAAGGACACACATCAAACTGTTACCAGGAGTTACCCCCAGGAAAGGCTGTGGGGTGGGTTATGGTCGGAAGGATTTGACCTTTATCCACATTTTAGTTTTTTACATGAATAAATTCATGTATTAGCAATATGTGTGACTATAAGTAGCATTACAGAGAATAAACCACAATTTTAATGTAACACGTAATCTCTGTAAAAATGGAAGCAATACTGAGATGTGTAAAGGAAGCAGAAGCCATAACTTAACTTTCTCACCACCCTCATCCCTGCTCGCTGTTGACTTTCAAGACCTGTTTGTACACATCAACTTTATAGGCATATATGTTGAGCAGACTTCCTCGTTGCTAACAGCACCCCCACAGTGTCTGCTTATCCACCCTCATCCCTCTGGGAGGTGGGCCCACGGTTGGTCTGACTCAGTCATGGTGACACCACTGTTGCATTTGCCAGTGATTGGTTTAGGCATGGGCCCGTGTATGTTCATTGACAATTTGGCCAATGAGGTCTGATGTGAACGGATGTCTGCTGGGAAAGATTTCCTGCTCTAATTAAAAGATACACAGGAACCAACAGTCCCTCTGTTGTTGCTGTGTCTGGATGTGGTACTGCTGTAGTTATGCCAAGGCCGTAAATGAACCAGCCTGAGGATTGACCCAGATGCTGAGGATGGAAAAGAACTCGTACCGGTAACCACTGAATTAAGCAATTCTGGAATCACGCAACCTCCAGACTTTTTGTTCTGAGATTTGAGTCAGTGATTTGTCATTTGCAGCAAAACACACCTTGACATGTGCATATATACACATTCAAAATTTAAGTCAAAAGAGGGCTATACCATATATACTGTTCTACAACTGTTTTCACATAATATCTCATGGCTGTTTAACCATTTCTCCTTTGGTGGATCTTTAGGGTATAGTTTTTGCTATTACACAAATTCTCCAGAAAACATCTTTTATATATCCTGTGGCTTTAGAGAATAAATTTCTAGAAGTGAAATGACTGGATCAAACAGTGTGTGTATTCAAAGTTGATACCTATTGCTCTTTTTCTCCCCCAAACATCACACCTGTTCACACTGTCCGCAACCACGAGAGCCAGTGCCCATTTTCCACATACTCACGAGTGTTGTCTATATTTAGTAGTCAGGTTTTGCCTTGTTTAGGTGAAAACTAGTTTTCTGTTTTAAAATTTGTATTCCTTTGATTAATTTTAAACATGAGACTACAATTTTGTTAATCAAAATCGTAGTCATGTTTATTGGCTATTTATGGATTTTCTCTTGTGAGTATCCTCTGTAGTGTTTACCCATTTTTTTCTTACTGAATTTATATTACTGGTTTTTATGCTGCAGATGTAGTCTCCTAGGAATTTCTTTTTGTTGTTGTTGCTACCTTGCTTATTCTGTCATTTGGTGCACAGAGGTTTTAGATTTTTACTTTGTCACATTTGTCCATCTTTTTCTTTATTCCCTCTTTTTTTTTATGTTATACTTAGAAAGTCATGCTCCATCTTACAATGATGGAAACCTCACCCCGGATTTTGTTCTAGCTTTTAAATAACTTGAAGAAAAAATTGTTTAAATCACTACTGCATCTAGAATTTATTTTGTGTATAATGAGATATAGGGAGCTGAAGTAAGTTTTTTTTCCTCCCTAAATAGATATTTTCCCCATACCATTTACAGAATAGTCCATATTTCTCCCAGGATGATATTATCATGTCTTAGATTTCTCAATGTACACAGGCCTGTTTCTAGGCTGCCTGTCCTGTTCTGTTGAGTCATTCATCTATTTCTACACAGTTTTAATAGCTATATATTTGGAGTATGTTTTGCTCACCAGTGGGAAAAGTCCTCCTGTATTATTATTAGCTTGCAAAACTTTTTCCACATATTTACTCTTTCAGATGAACTTTAGAATTAACTTGTCAAGTCTATAGAAAGATCCTGATCAATTTTTGATTGAGATTGTTGAATATATAGATTAATCTGGGGAGACCTGACATCTGTATAATATTGAATCTTGCTATCTAGCGCCATGGTATGTCTCCATTTATTCAGGTTTTCTTTTGTGTATTTCAGCAAAGTTATATAATGTCCAGTATATAGGTTTTGTATATTTCTTTAAAAAGTATTCCAGATATTTTAAATATTTGCTATTCTAAAGGACCTTGTTTTCATTATTTATTCTAGTTGGTCATTGTAAATGTATAATGTATTAAAAAGCTATTAATGTCATTGATGTAAGCAATTCTCATAAACCTAAATGTAAGAAGTGGAAATTTAATTTTATAGGAAAAAAAATTGATGCTTGAGTGGATTAATTTCTAAGCATGGCTATAAAATACTTCTCAAACATAATTTCAAATAAATCACATTATGATTCTAACATCGAATTAAGCTGAATTTCTCTTCTTTACTCTCATAGGTTATTATTAACTTGGTAGACCAGGCAGGAAGAGAGAAAATTATTGGCGACGCTTACCTGAAGCAGGTGTTGCTCTTTAACAACTCACACCTCACTTACGTTTCATTTGACTTCCATGAGCATTGGTAAGATGGCTTTCTGAGATGAGTTTTGATCAGTTCCAATGTCTGTGGTGGATGCTGCCACAGGCACGTGAGTTTCTCGTGTCTTCCTTGGGAAGAAAATTTTCTTCTCATTGTTAGAAAGGAAAGGAGTATCATTTGTTTACTTCATTTTAATTTTCTTATGTGTTTTATTTTAGCCAAAAATTTAAATTAATTGTTCCTAAAATATTTACAGTTTCTCTGTTCCAAAACGACTTGGAGACTTAGACGTCCATTTTTCCTTTTATTATTCAGTTGAAAAATTTCTGGAGCTTTTCCTTTCTGCTTGAGTCTAAGCCTGGCAGAAACAATAGAGTTCCTTTCCTTAAAAATCATCCTGCGGGCTCGTTTTCATACTCTTTTAGTAATACTTCTTTCCCTCTGGATAAACTTCAGTAGAATTTGCTCTAGAAAAACAATAATCGGTGAATCATTTTAATGGTAACTTAACTTCTGTGTATTCTAAAAGCAAGGTTCTCTCATCACAACCCTGGTGGCTCTAACGTGGGTTCATTTATCTAGGTATTGAAACTTTGGTGGAGAGAGAAGCTTTTGAGACCTTTGATATGTTTTAGTATATTCTTAAGTATATTTTCTTCCACAATGCAGATTAACTATAAACATTTATACAACTGCCTGTATAATTTATAGTAGTGTTAACCTCATGTACTTATAGTAATAATTTTCTTTAACTTTTAGAAGCTACCTTAAATAGCATATCTTAAGTTTTAAAAGAGAACTGTTATTAAAGTTTGTCTTTTTTTTGTTTTTTGTTTGCATATATTTTAGCCGAGGAATGAAGTTTGAGAATGTTCAAACACTAACAGATGCTATTTATGACATTATTCTTGACATGAAGTGGTGTTGGTAGGTATTTCTTATTTCATAAGAAGTCAGTTTGACAAACTTGTTCTGTGAAATCATGTGTATTTGTTTACAACCACTAAGCGTTAAAATAATAGCAGCAGGCCGAGAAAGCATTTTTGTTTTTCTTATTTTGCTTCCCAGTTCTTATTCTGTGTTTCAAGAGAATGTTAGTCATTAGGCAGTGTTAGCTTTGAACAGGGAAAAAGGTGTCAGACGGTCAGGTAAAGTGGGGAGAAATGCTGTATGACTGACTATTCTTGAATTCCTTCTAATGCTTCATGGTCTCATTGTCCCCAACACGGGAAGGAAGGCTTAGAGTACTTGGTCTCAGTTTCCAGGCCTTTCAAAATTATCAGAGAAGGACAATGATTCTCAGACTGCAGGAAGGAGGTGTAGGAAAAAGAAATTGGCTTGAAGGACAGGAGAGGACTTTTGATGAGACTTCAAGGCCCTGAGTAGCCAGAGAAATTCGACGAGCAAGGCACGTTGCAGACTCCTCCCTGGGTGTTAAAGCAAACTGGTCTTTCCAGGCTGCTTTAGATGCCTTTCTCCTTGGCGTCAAAAAGGAGGGATAGGATGGTTTCTTAAAGTGCCTTCTGGTTTTAAATGTGTAGAAAAGCATGACTTGGGGTTGTGTCAGGTCTGCCTAGTAGTTATGTGACTTGGCTTAAGTCACTCTTTTTGCACCTCAGGTTTTTTTTCTTTTCAAAATAGGGATAATAATATTTTCCTTGTTGAGTTATGTGTAAATTAACAACAGTGTCTACAAAGGACTCGGTAATATCTGCCATATAATGATTTTCCAAGCAAGCTGATAACTAATGCGGTGTTCTTATTGTTATCCTGTAAAGAATTATGATTTTTGAAAATGTATTAAAGTATTTCATATTGTAAAATAATCCCATACTGTTTTTGACAAGGGTTGACCAAGCTGGGGTAATATGTAAGCAAGAAGGGATTTTTCGAGTTAATTGCATGGACTGCTTGGATCGCACCAACGTGGTCCAAGCTGCCATCGCACGAGTGGTCATGGAACAGCAGGTAATTTGGAATCCATCGGATTGTAAATATTCATTTTTAACTGTTTTTCTTGTGTAAAGAAATAACTAAAATCTTTGTTCTGTAGAACTTTTATAGCATACAAACATCCTTGTTGCATTAAAACCTGGAAAGCACAACCTCCAAAAGAAATAAGTTGAATCAAGTGGCATTTTCTTAAGCACTCATCTCAAAAATGTGAGGCTCAACATTTTAACATTTATTGGGTGGCACCGTATGGTCATTTACTTTTTTTCTCTCATCTCTAAAATCCTCCCTTTTGTATGTGGAACTGGGAGCCTGTACATTGTTATATTGCTGCTCGGCCAGCTGACTCCACGTCAGACTCTGCCAATAGCGGGCACTAAAGGAAGATCAGGAGGCTTAAGGATGAAAAAGGGGCAAGCTTCTTTACCTGTGCTATATGGCTGTCGTCAGCGCCACCTCTGGAGCTGTTGGCACCAAGAACCAGCCTCTTGCCTTTATGCCCCCGTTTGGTGACAACTGCTTCCTGCAGCCATTACGTCTGTTACTCAGTGTCGGCTTTTAGATCTTTCAGCCCTCCAACATCTAACAAATTCCCAAGGTGGAAATTCCTAGGGTGGTTTCTAGGTTATTTTCACAGAACCTGTGACTGTCCTTTGAGGATGTGAGTCTCTTCCTTCTAAGGTTGCAGTGAAACAGCCAGGCTTTTGAGTCCAAGCCCTGGCTCTACCACGTACTAAGGGTTGACCCCATGAAAGAATGAAACCTCCCCCAAACTTCTATCTCCTTATCTTTATTTTAAAATGGAGGTAATAAGAGTATTGATTGAATAGGGTTATTATGAGCGGTAAATGAGATAATTATTTAAAAAAGCTCTTAGAACCCTAGCCCTAGCACAGATTTAATATTTTTTGGGCAATTATTGCTCTGTTACTATTAATGTTATTGTTTTTTCAATGTGTGTTTTTGATAGTTCATGGGAAATTTAAAACAAAGACAAAATATAAGAACATGAGCCTACACATTCTACACATTAAAAGTTACACCAAAACAGCGTAAATATTTTCATTTGATTCTGTCTCCTCTAGCAATTCATAAAATATCCCTCAAGTGGTGCTTTATTTTGAAAAAGTCTGAAAACACCATTTCTTTTATTTAAGCGTCCTAAATTGTATATGAACACAATTCCTTTTTCTGCATAGTATGTATTTTATGCTCTGGTTTCCTGATGTGTATGTAGTTAATCCACCAATGTGTTAATTTTAGTTGAAAAAATTAGGTGTGATGCCCCCGGAGCAGCCACTCCCAGTGAAATGCAATCGGATCTATCAGATAATGTGGGCCAACAACGGTGACTCCATTAGCAGGCAGTACGCTGGGACAGCTGCTCTGAAGGTAAGTACCTGCAGCATTTGTGGATCATTCTGTGGGACACAGAATGGTTTAAAACCATCTTTGTTTTTGCGAGAAAGGCATGTGGGCTGCAGGCGGTAGGTCCATGTAGTTGACTGCTTTTTGGAATGTCTGGCTAAGGCAGGGGTCACACATTCCTATTCCTCTGGGGCCAGGTAATGTGACTCAAGCAGGTGACCCATTAGGTTAAAGGGAGAGATGGGGCTGTGTGGACCTAAGGAAGAGCTTATGTTGTCTCAGAAGCGTTCTGTTGTTATGCTGCTTCCATACGGGGATGGAGGCCCCGTGTTGCTAGATCTTCCCGTTTGGAAATCTGGAATTTTATGTAAGATAGTTGATTTTTGAAACTTTATATAGACAAAATAAAACATGTCTGCTGATGGGATTTGGTCCCTAGTGTGATAATTTGCCTCCTCTAAGTTTGAATCCCAACCCTGCCTCTTACTAGCTCTGTGACCTAAGGCAAGTCAGTTAACCTCTCTCTCAACAACAGAAAAATACACATTCTTCAGAAGTGCACCCAGAACGCTCTCCAGTATAGATCGTATGTTAGGCCATAAAACAAGTCTCAGCAAGTGCAAGAAGATAGAAATTATATCAGGTATCTTTTTTTGACCACAGTGATATGAAAGTAGAAATCAGTCACAGGAGGAAAATTGGAAAATTCACAAATATATGGAAATTAAACAACTCCTGGACTATCAAAGGGTCAAAGAAGAAATCAAGCGGGAAATAAAAAATATCTTGAAACAAATGAAAGTGGAAACATACCAAAATTTATGGAATGAAGCAAAAGCAGTCCTAAGAGGAAAGTTTATTGCTAAAAATACCTATATTAAGAAAAAATGAACTCAATCAACCTAACATTACACCTCAAAGAACCAGACAAAGAGGAAGAGACTAAGGCCAAAGTTAGCAGAAGGAAGGAAATAATAAAGATTGGAGCAGAAATATATGAAATAGGGAATAGGAAAACCAAGGAAAGATCAGCAAAACTAAGAGTTGATGTTTTTGAAGTAATAAACAAAATTGACAAATATTAAACTAGACTAACCAAGACATGAAAAGAGGACTCAAAATTATAAACGAAAGAGACATTATAGCTGATACCACAGAAATGCCTAGGATCATAAGAGACTACTCTGAACAATTACATGCCAACAAATTGGACATTTAGAAGAAGAGGATAAATTTCTAGAAACATACAACCTACTAAGACTGAGTCATGAAGAAATAGAAAGTCAGCAGACCAGTGAGTAAGGAGATTGACTCAGTAAGTAAAAACCTCCCAATAAAGAAAAGCCCAGGACCAGATGGTTTCACTAGTAAATTCAGCCAGACATTTAAAGAAGAATTAATGACAGTCCTTCTCAAATTCATCCAAAAAATAGAAGAGGAGAGCACACTCCCAGACTCATTTTTTGAGGCCCTGATACCAAAGCCAGATAAAGACACTGTAAAGAAAGAAAACTATAGGCCAATATCCCTGATGAATATGGATGCAAAAATTCTCAACAAAATACTAACCAAATTTAACAGGATCACACCATGATCAAGTGAGATTTATCTCTGGGATACAATAATATTTCAACATATGCAAATCAATAAATGTGACATACTGTATTATTAGAATGAAAGATAAAAATCATATGATTGTCTTTTGGCTCTCTGAGCAGCACCATGGCGGTTGGCAAGAACAAGCGCCTTATGACAGGCGGCCAAGAAGAAAGTGGCTGACCTGTTTTCTAAAAAAGATTTGTATGATGTGAAAGCACCAGCTATGTTCAATATAAGAATCTGGGAAACCACTAGTCACAAGAACTCAAGAAACCAAAATCTCTTCTGATGGTTTCAAGGGTCGTGTTTTTGAAGTGAGCCTAGCTAATCTGCAGAACGATGGAGTTGCATTTAGAAAATTCAAGCTAATTGCTGAGGATGTTCAGGGCAAAAACTACCTGATGAATTTCCATGGCATGGATCTCACCCATGACAAAATGTGCCCCATGGTCAAAAAATGGCAGACCGTGATCGAAGCTCATGTGGATGTCAAGACTACCGATGGGTATTTGCTTCATCTAATCTGTGTTGGTTTTACTGAAAAACACAGAATAATCAGATTTGGAAGAGCTCTTATGCTCAGCATCAACAGGCCCACCAAATCCGAAAGGGTGTAGAAGGAATGTACCTCAGCTCAATAAAGGCCATATATGACCAGCCCACAGCTCACATAGCCAATGGTAAAGGCTGAAAGCTTTTCCTCTAAGATCAGGAACAAGGTCAGGATGCCCACCCTCACCACTCCTATTTGTCATAGTACTAGAAGTTCTAGCCAGAGCAATCGGGAAAGAAAAAGAAAGAAAAAGCATCCCACTTGGAAAGGAAGAAGTAAAATTGTCTGTTTGCAGATGACATGATCTTATATGTAGAAAATCCTAAAAAAAAAAAAAAAAGTCCGCCAGAAAACTGTGAGAACTAATAAATGAGTTCAGTAAAGTTGCAGGATACACAATCAACATACAAAAATCTTCACTGGCTCATTCTACAGGGGCTGTAATGTGCCACGAGGTACGGCAACCTTTACTCTATATCCACATGCAAAGGTCAAATCCCATTGTAATAAACTCTAGGGAGCTCCCCACATTTTCCCGCATCAGAAATTTGTGGGTTTTGACTATCATAACAGTTTAAGGCTTGAAAATCTTTTTTTTGTTTTGTTTATTATGTAATAAGTTTGAACCTGTAAATTCTAGAAATTTTATAGATTGCCACATACATGTTTACCATGTAACTGTGGAGACTTGTTGCTACAAGTAGCACATTTAATTGTTTGACATGCTTGGGTCAGAGTCAAATACTAGTAGATATGTTAATTTACATTATTTGGAAGTTATAAAAGCCTAAAGAATTCCAGTCTTGAATTGAAAGCCCACATCGACCTTGTGTTTGAATAAATTGTCAAAATGATTTTTTCCTTGACAGGGTGACTTTACAAGGACAGGAGAAAGGAAGTTAGCAGGAGTTATGAAAGATGGTGTTAACTCGGCAAATAGGTATTACCTGAATCGATTTAAGGATGCTTATAGGCAAGCTGTTATAGGTAAGAACATAAATGCCTTTTTTGTTTAAAATTTGTTATTCCTTCTGTGACTAATGTTTTATAGAAACAACTTTATTGACATAGTTATACTTCTATTTTAAGCATCTTATCCAATAAATCAAATTCAGATTTTTAGAACTGGACAATTTTTTTAGGCTGGAGCAACAAAAGAAACCACTCATTTTCATACATATTTGTCAGTTTGCTGCTCATATAACAGAAAGAGCTGAGGCTCCTGCAGTATGGAATAAGGAACTCTAAATCCTCATCAACTGAATATTCTATTTGATTTTTCCATTACTCAAGGCTGAGAGGTATAATGAGATGATTTTCTTTCTCTTCAGGACATTTATCATGTGTTCTTGCTGTGGACAAATACGCTATCCTTTCCATAAGCATGATTTAACAGGATATTAGGGTATCAGATTTAGAGATTATCCTAACCAATTCTTAATCATTTTTTAGAAGAGGAGATGGAGGGTAGATTACCCTGGAATTCATGGCTTGGCATGTTTTAAATTTAATTTTCATTAAAATATTACCTTATGGGATTAAAACAAATGTAGAATGTCTGGATTAGAACCAAATGTAACAGCTCGTCTTATGGTCTCTGAGAATATTTTTAACATCCTATTTTTTAACCTGATTATTTATCATACATGAAATAGTAGGGCCTAGACACAGACCATTGAGGATTTTGAGAAGTTTGGTGTAAAGAAGTTTGGTTCATTTGCCATAGATAGGGTGTGTGCTGACTGAAAAGATGGATTTTAGCAATTTATTCAAGAAAAAATAAGATACCTTCCTTCTGTTGGTTGATCTAGTGAGTCAGTTATGTCCTTGAGGACTCAGGTTCTGTCCCTCTTGCAATTCAACCATCTACAGCATCAGCTTCATCCTAATTCTCAAGCTGGATCTCTTCAAGGTTGAGAGAGAGAGGCCAGTAGCAGCCTGGGTTATTGCTTGCCCTGTAGGGCCAGTGGTGGCAGTTCTCGCTCAGAAGCCTTGTCTGTCTCATCGTCCCAAACAACTGTAGGGAATGGGGTTATAATGATTTGTTTAAGCTTGAGCCACATGCCACACTAGGAAAACGTTAGCTTGTCTATTCACATCCTTGGCCCATTTTAAAATGGGCTTGTCTTTTTATTGAGTTGCAGGAATTCTTTATATATTCTGGATACAAGTCCCTTATCAGATAGGTGATTTGTAAATATTCTCTTCCATTCTTTGAATTGTCTTTTCAATTTCAGGATATTGCCCTTTGAAACATAAGAGTTTTTAATTTTAATGATGTCTGGTTTGTCTTTCTTTTGTTACTTGTGATTTTAGTGTCCTATCTTAAAAAAACAAAACAAAACAAAATTGGTCTAATCCAAGGTCTCAAAGACTTAACGCTTATATTTTCTTATAAATTTTACGGGGTTTGTTTTGTTTTGTTTTTTTTTAAGATTTTTATTTTTTTTATTGGGGAATTTGGGGATAGGAACAGAGCTGGGGAGTTGGGGGAAGGGGAACAGACAAGTTGCTGTCCTTTTGTTCTTCAGTCTAGTTGTGGAGGATGTTGCTTCACTGGCCCAAGTTGGCACCATCATTGCGCTCTTCCCGGGCGAGGCAGATCAGTCGCTGGCTTCTGGACGACCGCTCACGCTGGCTGCTGGCCGCTCACGCTGGCTGCTGGCTACACAATAGCCCATGGCAACCCACTGCAGCAGGGGCTGCAGCCTACGCTGTCGCCGGCGACTCACGGCAGCCCAGCTCCAGGTTGAGCTGTTGTTCAGCATCTTAGCTGTAGAGGGCAGTGTCACTGGCCCTCATATGTGGGATCTGAACCGGGGCCCTCTGGCGTCCCAAGCCAGCTCTTAACCAACGCGCCACTCGGCCGGCCCAGTTTTACGATTTTAGGTCTTACATTCTCTTTTGGATTCTAAAAGTATATTAGTAAACTAAGGATGACAGATGTTAACATTTTCTACTCTAGATTTGATGCAAGGCATTCCAGTGACAGAAGACCTTTATTCCATATTTAACAAGGAGAAAGAGCATGAAGCTTTGCATAAGGAAAATCAGAGGAGCCACCAGGAGCTAATTAGCCAGCTCTTACAGAGTTACATGAAGCTACTACTGCCTGATGAGGAGAAGTTCCACGGCGGCTGGGCCCTCATTGACTGTGACCCCAGGTGAGTTGGAGTGGTGTCTGGTAACTAACATGCTTAAATTTCTGATGTTAAGTTTTTCTAATTGATGCTAGCAATTGTCCATAAAGCTGTGGGAATGGCTGCATGGTGCGTGGCAGTTTTCAAATGCATGGCTGGTACCAAGGCAAGCTGAATGAGGCAGTTGGGTGCATAATTAAGGGGGCACTGAAAAACTCAGTAACGAAGAGAAATATTTTAATGCAGTGTTTGATATAAAAAACAAATTGTAAAACTATGGTTCGCAACTGGCAGCGTGGATTTTTCCTACTCAGAATCCAGGTTTATTGTGTTAATGCCCATAACTGAGTGTAGCAAGAGGTGCAGCAATGCTACTTACTTTGACTGGTCCTGGCCTTTCATAAAGTAAATAGGCCAACTAATGCTTAACATTTTTTAACAAAACCATCCAATTATGATTTTCAATATTATGAATTAGAAATATTTCAGAAAGTTCTAGACCAAGCTCTGAGACTAAAAGGCTGTATTTAGATTTTGTCTTGTTTTATGTTTCATGTATTTTTAATAAAAGGGGCATAAAACAAGCTTGAAAGAACAACTGAACATGAAATATTATTTACATATGTTAAAATTAATTTAAAAATATTGACTGTAGGTTCATAGGGAAACCTTCCATGATTTTAATTAATTTCATGGATTATTTCACTCCGGTAATTAATACTGTATGTATGAAAAAAAAATACTATATGTATGGATACAATTTGCAGACTCTTTTATTTTTTATTTTTTATTATTAGTTTCAGGTGTACAAAACAAGACAATAGTTATCCTTTTCACCCCTCACAAAATGACAACCTCCCTCCCCCCATCCACTGCCCTCCCACCCCTGATATCATACTTATCTATTACAATTCTGTTGACTCCATTCCCACACTATACTCTACATCCCGTGACTATATGTAAAATTATAGTTCACATACAATATTATTCAACATCAGCTTCAGATAATTTGCAGACTCTTAAAATATGAGACGAGGTTCTTCTTACACACAACTTAGCAGAAAATTTCTGTGCTCTTATAATCCACTTGGTAAAAAGTTTTTGATTCATTTACCTTAGTTTTTTTTTTCTTAATAGCAGTCCAATTTAATCCAGCACCAAAAAAAAAAAAAAGTAGTACTTTTAATTCCCATTCAGAAATAATTGCAGCTATCATGGCTGCATTTTGCTTGCGCTTTAACTTTGCACTTTATTTTTGTAAAGGTGCCTTGATTGTCAATATCATCTTCCTTAGATCAAGTATTTTTATTTCTACTTTGGAGATAATTGAAATAGGAAAAGACCAAAAAGGGTTGTTTCTAAAGCTGACTACCATTTTGTAAGGTTACATTACATCTGATTTGTATTATTATTACATTACATCCGATCTGTCCTGTTATTCTTATGTAAAATTGGTAACCTGGGTTAGGGGATTAAAAAAATGTACAGTGTATTTAGCTATGTTATTTAAAGTTTGCAACAAAACTTGGGTACCCTTGCTTATTAAGAGTCAGTAGAAGTGTCTTGCACTTAAGAAAAAGATGATTAAAAACTCTCAGACTTCTCCCTGGCAACCATGCTCACTGGCAGACCGTAAATTAAGGGTACTGTATTGTACCAAAATAATGCTGAAACAGCCAATCTAGGACCAGGTCTTTAAGAAATCCTTGTTGGGTGGTTAGATTCTCAAATCTCGTAATAATTCTCAGATACCAAATACTTACCTCAGAAATACAATTGTGCTTCAGTTTTTTCTTGGTTAACATGATGAAATACTTCTCTCTCTCTTTTTTTTTTCGGCTCCCACCCCTTTCTAGTGCCCACCAATTGCCTTCCTCTATTTTCTTTAATCCTGCATTTTTAGATAACAGGGAGCCAGTGATTGCCTCCTGCTCATCTTCTTTGGTTAAAGTTCCTGATCAAGAATAACTTAGGCAATAACACACGGTAGACAGCCATTGTCACTGCATCTTTCCTTTTACTCATGAGCCCCATTGGGGCTGTACAACTGAGGAGCACTTTACAAAAAAGCAGAGCCCACCCTTCCTTCACCGCAAATTAAGCTTTCAAATTCCAGACCATTGTCAGGTCTTTAGTAAGTGGTGCTGCCCCCAAAGATGATGAATATCTGTTTCCAAATAGCCTCACATTTCATGATGGAAGATGGAACCATTGCATGCTTCCGTTTCTGTGCTTCTGAGTTCATTTAGTTCTATATTTGTTACTGCCTTGTCTGTAGATCTTAACCTGGCCCAGAGCTTTGTGTACCTGGTGGTCACACTCGAATTAGTGAGCTTGACACCCTCATTAAGCGCCAAGATCCTTCATGCTTGTAGCTCTGCCAGTGTGGGTCTCAGCCCAAGCTTTCTGCTGAGTTTGCCTTTTTGTTCCATTTTTTCTTCTTGTTCTATTTCTTCATTCTTTTGTTTTAGGACATTTCCTTGCTCTAGCTCTTCAGTTGTGGGCCTCAGCTAAGTCTCCTAATTTCCAATTTGTTCTTGAATTCCCTGTCTCTCGTCTTCAGATGCCACTGCAAGATGTTTTTGTCTTCTAATTCTTTCTCAGATGGTATCGTGCTAAGTTTGATTGTGAAAGTATCCCATTGCCTATTTGACTTACCAAAGCACATTCAGCCCTGCCATTCTCATCCTCATCTCCTTCCTTGTTGTCATTGGTGGACAAAATAGGCCCATCAGTGTCAGAGTCATTGGTCCAGTGATACCCCTTGACCTTCATCCTACAGGACACTGAAAAGTTCTGAAGATTGTCCCATCAGCCCAGATCTCACTGGCTGAGGTGCTGCCTTCCCTGTCTTGTTTGTGCTGACATGTAAGCCAGTGCCTGGTGGAGAATGGTTCTGTGTGTTAGGTCTTCAGTACAGACACTGGCTTGGGTCTAAGGAGAGATGGATGGGCAGGGAGCCCCATTGCTCACCAGGACAACAGGAGTGGCTGAGGGAATGATGTATTGTTTTCTCAAGATGGGAAAGCTGGCCAGGGGAGCCCAGACTTGTGGAATTTCTCTGTGGTCTGCTCCTCAATGACAGGGAGAAACTGCCCGGGTTTGAGACTCTCCCTTGTCCTCAGAGGATCTCCTCTAAGACTGATCACACCAGAAGCAGTTGTGTCTGACAGTGATTGAGGCATTGGCGGCGTGCTAGCTTTTTTCCTGCCCTTGTTAGTTCCGACTATTGCTGTTTTACTAGAAACTGCCTCCTTTGAAGCTTTGGGACAGATGGACATGGATGGAGTCGACAGTGAAGCTGCCTCTTTGGAACCAGTGACTTCTCAGGTCAGGGCCCGCCTACCCAGAGTCCTGGTATCTTTACTTTAATGGGAGGCACCTCACCACCCTGTGGCTGGCCCCAGCGTAGGCCCCTTTAGGAGGCATAGGTGGCTGGGGGGTTTAGGCTGGGCTTTGGAGGAACTGGACCAGGAGCTACCAGTGTTTCAGAGTGGTCTTGTCTTCTCACCTGCCTTTTCTTCCATAGGCAGTGCTTTTTCATATTCAGAATTGTTACCATCTTCAGATTTCACTTCACTTCCTCTGAGGTGGATTATTCACTGGTGGATACCATGTGCCCATTTGAATTTCCAAAGTTACCTGTGTATCTCCATCTGGAGTGGACAGTTCTTTAGGACTCTCCTCATCAGCCCCTCTCTACTTTCTTTGCCTTGTGGTTATTATCCTTTCAAATACTGCTAAGATTTCTTTCAATTTGCCACTGGTGTTTTCTTTATATGCAAGGCTTAAAGATTTTCTAGATGGTGGATAGTTTCTTTTCTTTCTCTTGAAGGGAGATGTTTGGAAACCTGCTCATAGGGTATCTGAGTTTGCTCTAGAACCTTTGTACAGTATATTAACTGAGCCGGAGCTGTGGACCCAGAGCAGGTGGCCCCTGATGGAGGCCATCAAGAGGAAGCTGTGGGAATGGCTGCAGGGGCTCAGGCCCCAGACAGCCAGCCATGGATGGGCACAGCCCCTCAGGCCGGGGGCTTCAGCAGTTGGCACTGGCCTGCCTCAGCCATCTCCTCCTGGGCTGTCCGTATAGTTTTTTTTTTTTAATATTTTATTGGGGAATTGGGGGAGGGGAACAGTGTTGGGGAATCGGGGAAGCGGAACAGACAAGTTGTTGTCCTTTTGTTCTTCAGTCTAGTTGTGGAGGATGTCGCTTCACTGGCCCATGTTGGTATTATCATTGCACTCTTCCCGGGAGAGGCAGTTGGAACCTCTTTGCCATTGGATGGCTGCTCACAGCGGCTCTCGAAAAGTTCAGGCCCGCTGCCGGCCAGCCCCACTGCAGCGTATACCGTCGCCAGCGACTCATGGGCAGCCAGCTCCAGATCAAGCTGTTGTTCACCATCTTAGCTGTAGAGGGCACAGTGTCACTGGCCCTCATGTGGGATCCGAACCAGGGCCCTGCTGCTCAGAGCTGGCATCCCAAGCCAACTCCTAATCAACTCGGCCAGCCCCGTATAGTTTTTGAAAACACCTTTATTGAAATGTAATTAATATACCATACAATTCACCCATTTAAAGTGTAAAATTCAATAGTTTTTAGAATAATCACAGAGTTGTGCAGCCATCACCATGGTCAATTTTCAAACATTTTCATCAGCACAAAGAGAAGCCTCATACTCTTTATCACTCCCCTATTCCCCCACACCTCCACTCCTAAGCAACCACACTAATCTACTTCGGTCTCTCTGGATTTGCCTCTTCTGGACAGTTCATTTAAATGGTATTGTATAATATGTGGCCTTTTGTGACTGGTTTCATTCACTTAGCTTTTTTTTTCATGGTTCGTGCATGTTGTGGCATATTTAAGAACCTCATTCCTTTGTATAGCGGACTAGTATTCCATTGAATGGAAATGGCACATTTTGTGTTTATCTATTATCCTGTTGATGGGCATTTAGGTTTCTACCTTCTGGCTATTATAATTAGTGATGCTGTGAACACTCGTGTACAAGTTTTTATTTGAACGCCTGCCTTTCTTTTGGGTATAGAACTAGGAGTGGAAATCGCCAAGCCATCGTAATTCTATGTTTATCTTTTGAGAAACCACCAAACTATTTTGCACAGTGGCTGCACCATTTTACATTCCCAGTAGCAATGTGTGGGGTTTTCAATTTTTCCACATCCTCACCAACACTTGTTATTTTCCATTTTATAATTGTAGTCATGCTAGCGGGTGTGCAGTGGTATCTCGTGATTTTTTGTGGTTTTTTTTGTCTTAAAGATTTTATTGGGGAATTGGGAAAGGAGAACAGTGTTGGAAATTGGGGAAGGGGAAAAGCCAAGTTGTTGTCCTTCAATCTTAGTTGTGGAGGGTGCAGCTAGCTCAGCTCCAAGTCCAGTTGCCATTGGCTGCCCAATGGAAGCTCGCGGCCCCTCAGCTCAAGGTGCCGTGTTCAATCTTAGTTGTGGGTGGGCATAGCCCACCATCCCATGCAGGAGTTGAACTGTAAACCTTGTTGTTAGTAGTATGTGGTCTCACCAGCTGAGCCATCCTGCCACCTGTTGGCAGCTCAGCAGCAGCTAAGCTCAGGCGCAGCATCACTGGCCCATGTGGGAATTGAACCGGCGACCATGTTGCTCAGAGCTCGCACTCTTAACCAGCTGAGCCACTCGGCCAACCTGACGGTGGTTTTGATTTATCTTTTCCTAGTGACAGATGATGAGGAGCATTTTGTCTTGTGCTTTGTTGGCCATTTGTAAATCTTCCTTAGAAAAATGTTTAAATCTTTTGCCCATTTAAAAAATGGGGTTGTGTGTCTTTTTGTTGTTGCATTAGGCCATGTGTTTTCTGTAAATAAAGTTTTATAGGGACCAGGGCTGGGATGAGGGTGAAGCAAGTGAGACAGGGTTGAATGAGTGCAGGGTCAGACCCTGTCTTTATTTAAAATGTTGATGTTTTGTTCATCATGATATTTTTGCATGAATTTTGATTTTTGAAAATATTGCACTAAAAATTGATGGCTAAGTTTTTTTTGTACCCCTTTAAACATTGCGCCAGAAACCAGTGCCTCACTTGCCTCACAGCAGTCCCAACCCTGTTTAAATATCTGGTAGAAAAAGTTATGGCAAGCAGTTTACAAATAGTCTTACTCGGGGCAGCAGGGATGGCTGCTGGTCCCTTTTTCTTAACCTCCCAGCACTGCAGCCGGAGCTGTCCAGCACAGCTCAGCACTGGTTGCTTGATTTCTGCCTTCCTTCCAGGATCTCCTTGGCGCATACCCAGTGCCCACCCCCGGCCCCGGACCTCTTTCTGTGCAACAGGGAGCACATTTTCCCCTAGACAGCCTCTGGCGCGTACAAATTAAACCTCTCCAGCTTCTCTGTGTCCTTTCCCTTCGACTCCCTTGCGCCCCCGGTTGCTACAGGAAAAACTCTGACTTGAATGACACCCGATTAGCTCCTGGTGGTACGCCGCGGGGTCGGAGGAAGAATCTTAAATGTGAAAGGAGATCGCATAGTGTCCAAGTGCCCTTCAGCATCTCCATAATGCTCACTCTTTATTTTGTCCAACGCTATTTAACCCGCTTCTGCTATACCGAGAGTTGATTACCGCTTCTCCTCTACCGGTTTTAGTGGAGTAGCGACGCAGCCACGTTCTTATTTAGGCATGTGACAGTGCAGGGCACAGATCATGGTGCTGCAGCCCGCCCGCCAGGGTCCTCTCTAGCAGTGGGGTCAGTCCTTCACTAAGACGCCTATCAACTCTCACAGTATCGGAGGGGTCGCCAGGGCTTGCGGCCACATCGGAGCTCCTCCCCTGCAGGGCTGGGGTCTGTCGTCTTCTTGAGAACGCCTGCTGCGCATGCGCGCTGGGCGCCTGCCGCGGCGGAAGTGGGCGGTCGGAAAGCGAGACGCGTTCGTGGGCGTGACTTGGCGCGGCCACTCTGCAGTTGCCGCGGACGCCGCAGTCAGTGCAGGCGTGGGGTCGGGCGCAGGTGTATCTGATGGAGCTTTGACTCGTCCAGGGACTGACGGACGGACGGACTGACGGGATGCCGCGCTCCCACAGGGCCGCTCAGCGGGCGGCCAACGCCGTGGGCAACGCCGCGGAACCCAAGCCCGAAGGAAGCAGCCTGGCGACGCCTTTCAAGATTTTTCTCCTTTTTGCAGGACTCCTGGTTAAAGTTCCTGTGGGGTTATATTTTTCTTGTAAATTACTCCTTTTCCAAAGTCTCCTGTTAATGTCCCCTGACGACAGTGGCTTTTACGCCACCATTGTTGCCGTGGTTGGGCTGCATGTGGTACTGTCGGTTTTTGTCTTCATTGTGTGGAAGGAAGGCTTGCCCGAATGGCGGGAAAACAAAAACGACTAGAGCAACTTTTCCTTTAGAGCTGCAAACGCAGCGGGTGGGAAAGTACCTGAAGGGGCGTCCTTTCTTGTATGTGGTTAAAAAAAAAAAAAGTGCCCTTTTCTGTTTATTATGGGGGAGGGAAATTAAATATTTACTGCAGCCAAAACTTAAGTAAAAATGAGAACAGGGTCCGGGAGGGCTGACATTTTTCTGGACTGCCTCTTGTGTGCCAAGTGCTTTTTTAAAGGACAAAATGTTTTTGACTGAGGATCATATCTGACTGATGTAAATATTAATGCCAAAATAGGAACCTAGGATTAAGTAATACTAATAGTACGGTATTTTTCAAATGAAAGTGTGTCGCGATGTAATTTTTATGGCTTGGCTCAAGCAACAATTTTCAGAGTGCACGTAAGTATCAGTACTCAAAACTAAATTACATTCTACAAGTGCCATTCTATTGTCGGTGAGGCTGCCAGGATAATTGAATTTATGGTGGTGTTTCTCCCATTGATTGGTTAGTGCTCATCTTTTGGATCAGTAGGTGTGTTATTATCAGGTCCTGGCATCTTATCTCATTCTTTGTATTTTGGGATATATTGTTTTAGGTGAAAATTGAGAATTTGTTATTTTAGATGAAGATTATTGTTAGGGTTATGCTGCAACAAGGTGCTGCTGATGTAAAATACTGCAGTTTAATATTTTGGTAAATTTTTCTCTACAGTACCGGTTAAACAATCACCTCATTCTTACACAGATTAAATACATGACTTAAATTCCATCTCCCAAATGATTTTTCCCCACTTTTTGTTTGTTTTCAGTCGCCTTTTGATTAAGTCTTGACTAATCGGTATGAAATTCTAAGGCAGAATTATCCACTCTTATAATGGAATCTTGAGACCAATATAAGAATGCAGATTAGTTTCTACCTTTTGTTTTAGCATTGGAATATTAAATTACAGTTTTATTTGAATTCAGATTCTGTCATCTATTGATTATTTGTATATTTTATACGTTGTGCAGTTTCTTGTATTCTTACAAAGATGTACATTTTACTGTGGTTTTTGGTTTAGTGGCTCAACACATCTAGTTTCTAACCTTTATTTTGATAGAGTGGAGGTAAAATATGGCAAAACGGACTTAAAATAAGGAAATGTTTATTTGTGCCTTAAAAACTAAGTAAATTAATCTATAGTAAGAAAAATGCAAAGTAGTTTGGGCTTGGTTCCATTTTTGCACATAAATGTTATATTTATATAAAATTCCTTCAAAGGATGCATTCTACATGAGTAAAAAAATACCCTAAGTATGCAGTGTCATTTCAAAGGTATGTCATGTGAGATAATCTAAACATTTTCTCCCTTCTTCACGTTTTCTCTTTTCTCCCCAATCCCCCTGAGTTTCTACTATATTTCCTCCCTCTTGACTACTTCCCTGAGAAGGGACTGCTCTTCAGCTCCAGTCCTTCCCTCCACCTGCACCCCCTTCCCAAACTGGATCCCGTTTTACTTTTAAATTTCCAAATGGATAGATTGTATACATTTAACTTCAGAAGTAGGACTTGTTGATTTCTCTTCCCCGCTCGCCCATCTTTTATCATAACTGGCTGTCCTGTAAAAATAAGCTTGGCAAAAATATAGATGAAAGGCCGGCCGAGTGGCTCAGTTGGTTAAGAGCTTGCTCAAGAGTTTGAGCTCTGAGCAACAGCGGTTCGAGGCCAGCCCGAGCTGAGCAGCCAATAGGTAGCAGGATGGCTCAGCTAAAAAAAAAATATATATATATATATATATATATATATATATAGATGAAAGTAAAAACGTTTAATTGCCTGTGTCATGTTTGTTTATTAGCCTCATTGATGCTACTCACAGAGATGTGGATGTGCTGTTACTGCTTTCTAATTCTGCCTACTACGTGGCCTAGTAAGTTGCTTATTGATTTAAAGCTTAAAATTTGTTTTTAAATCTGAGTAAATTTCTTTTAGAATTCATAACAAAAAATTGTAAGAATCTGGTTTTTGTTACGTATTTTAATAAATGTCATTGAACCCCTTTACCTTACATAACTGTTACATCACTCAGACTTCCTTTTATCAATTTGAAAATGTGATTTTTAGAGTTATAATCAGTGTTTGTATCTGTTTAGTATTTAGTGTTTCCTGTATATCTCCCAAGTTCTGATGTACTCCACATTTTTATTAATGACCATGTATCATTTTTTATCAGTATGCCATAGTTAAATGTTTCCCCATTGTTATGCATGGAAACAATTTTTTTTTTGCTATTATGAATGATACAACTATCTGCAGGTAATTTCGTGTATGCACACATGCACTTCTCCTTGGTTACAAGGTTATTTTGGTTACATCATTTGGTTATGATGATGTATTATATGACTTGTGGTTTATTGCCAGATTATCTCTAGAAAGACTACTAATTAAAAATGCCACCAGCAAAAATATAAGTACTTTTTCATAGCCTTGCCAGAATTGAGTTTTCTTTTTCTAATATTTACTTTTTTTGTATTTTGGCCTTGTGTGAACTATCATTTTTTAGTCATGGGCCCAGGTGCCTGTTGGCATTGATCACATGGATTTTTCCTTCGTGATTTGGTTATCAGATTCATCTGTTCTGTTATTCACAAATACGTAACTTCAGTATATGTGTCTCATGTGTTTTTTGCCTTTTGATTTTAACTGCATAGTAGTTGCTACTATTATACCTCAGCTGACAAACCAAATATGCTTTTGATTTTCATCCTATTTTTACTCCCTTTCCCTGTATCTAGTTATGATGATGAAGTTGATAAAGTAAGCCAGTATCAACGACTAAGTCTAGAAGACCTGGAAAAAATAGAAATAGGTAAGTTTTAATATACTAACAAAGTCATATAAATCAAACACTGTTTCTTTCAAGTGTGAGTCAAGTTATTTATGCAACTGATACAAATCTTATTAGAACCAGAAAGGGATATTCCAAGTAGTCTGTTTCTTAGAACTCCCTTCTATTCTTTATATATTCATGATGGATATGGTCTAATAATAACTGTATTTCTTTTATTACTTGCCTTGTGAAGACTAACCCAAGGATCAAGAAAGCTTAAATATTTGAGACTGACAAAAGAGTTTTTATTTAGCCTCACAAATTGAACCAAATTGTCACAATAAGCTTGTATTTTGTATGCTTGTTTAGATTACGACGAAAAATGTGCGAAATACCTAATTGATGAATGTGTTGGTCTTTTGATGATACAGAAGAAAGTAAATGTTATGTGAAAGATTTACGCATTCTCATTTGGATCTTTAGGTCCTGAACCCACTCTTTTTGGTAAGCCAAAGTTCTCCTGCATGCGATTGCACTACAGATATAAAGAAGCAAGTGGTTATTTCCACACACTGAGAGCTGTAATGCGCAATCCAGAAGAGGATGGAAAAGGTAATGAAGAGATGAAATTACTGAGTGATAACTTTTTATCTGCTTTTACAAGCCCAAATGGAATTGGGGGCAGTACATACCATTACCAACTGAATGATGCAGATAAATAACTTTGTTATTTGAGACCTTGAAATAGCATCTTTGTTCCCAGCAATGCTGGGAGATTATTTGAACCTCCCTGGTGTAGTTTGGGGCAAAGGAATCTGTAATGGGAATTCTCATGTGTGTGGCCATATGGATGCCAGGGCTTTTCTTGCCACATCCGCCTTTTGTGGGTAGTAGTCAGGGACCATGCCTATCTAGTTCATGGCTATTGCTTTGGCATCTACCATTTGGACAAACAAGAGTTAGAATAAACTTTTAATTCCACTTGATGTGGTTCTTTTGCTGTTTGTTATAAACTCCGGTTAAAATTGGTTTTAGAACACTCTGAATTAGTGTGTGGGGGGGGAATAAAGAATAAGTAGCAGTTTTCTGTAAATTGTAGCAAATAAAAATTGTATTTAAGACCACAAATTTTATTTAGGGTTCTGAGTTAAAACTGCTGTTTTTTTTTAATATCTTTTTTGGAGAAACTGGCAAGTGGTTCTGTTTGGGTTTCAGATACCCTGCAGTGCATTGCAGAGATGCTGCAAATCACCAAGCAGGCTATGGGATTAGATGTGCCTATAATCGAGAAAAAACTGGAGAGGTAAGTATATTGCTTTGATTTTCTCTCAAGAATAAAGATATTATCCAAAGTCTTACTTGTTTAAAAGTATTTGCAAGAGGTTGGGGGAGGGGGAAAATCACATTATGGTAATGAGTTGGTGTTTACAGAGGAAGTATCAATTTTCTATGGATGAAAAAAATAAAACTTTTTGTTAAAATTATGGCCACAAGTGATATATTTAAAAACTGTTAAATAAACTGAAGGGAGGGAGCACTCAAATTTAAATAACTAGAAAAAATTGACAGTATGTTTTAAACACTAGGTTTTTGAATTTGGGGGAAGAATGCTTGTAAACATTATTTTACATTTAAATTGGTGGATTTTTCATCTAACAAGGATTCATGGTCCACATTCCACTAGAGAAGAGAGCCATTTGGTCATCTAGTGAAAAATTGTGCAGTCTTTTGTTAGTAGAGAGAACTGTTTCAGTAGGTCTTTAACACTGTAATTTTTATGCATGACCAAGAGTCATACATACCAAGACGTGTGTGGCAAATAGCACGGACTTTTAAAATTTGTAGCTATCCTGAAGAATGCCAAAGGAGAACATACTAAGTTTAGTTATGTTGAATGTCCCAAATCTTTTTAAATTCAGGTAACCCACAGGGAACATAAGGAAACAGCATTCTTCTCTCTTACCTCTACCCGAATTCAGTCCAGTTGCAATGTATGTAGACAGCTTTGCCTGAGGTTTAGATTGTGGATGTGGTAGACCTGTGCTGCCTCTGAGGTAGCCACTCAGTGCGTAAGGATGTGGAGCCTTTGAAATGAGACTAGCCTGAATTTTGGGTGTGAAGTTTTGGATTTTTTGAGGAAGAAATTTATTCTCAGCATACACAAAAACACAAGCGGAAGCTACCCATTGGGAGGCTTCCTCCCTTCCGCCACTGTCTCCTCCTCTCTGAATCGAGAAGACAGTTGAAGGAAATCTGCAATGACATTGACCAACTCTGAAGACAAAAGGTTTGGTCCAAAAGAATTCACCATAATTAATCCAGTTGCTGGGAAGAGCAGTCACTGAGCAGGATTAAGTATTGCAGACAGGGTAGTTTTCACAGGGTGGCTCTCCAGCGCACCTGCTGGCCTCCTTGAGGAGGATGATTACAGAAGACATGTCTGGCCTGCTTGCTGGACTTGGGGTTCAAGTCATGCAGTGCAGTGGGGCCACCCATTCCCACTTAGTGCCTGGGAACAACTCTCAAGTGTTGTTTACAAGGGTTGCTGCTGCCCTCTTGTAAAATACTACGCATTGATTGATTAAAAGATTTAGTACAAAAAATAAGATATATTTCATTATCTTTTAATATTGGTTATATGCTAAAATGACTATTTTGTACATACTGGTTTAAGTAAAATACATTAAAGTTCATTTCATATTTTTAATGTGGTTCCTAGAAAATTTTAAATTACATCTACAGCTCACATATTTTTATTGGACAGTTCTGTTCTAGTGTCAACTCCAAGGGGTTATCAATAAGCAATGCACTGTTTTCAAGAAATTGGGCCAATTTAAATAAGAGTTTTCACTTACTTTAATAATTGGAACTGGTATGTTGAATTCCATGGGGAATTAACTTTTTTCTCTTCTAATTTGTAGGAAGAGCAGTAAACCTCACGAAGACATCATTGGCATCAGGTCTCAAAACCAAGGCTCTCTGGCCCAGGGGAAAAATTTTTTAATGAGCAAATTTTCATCTCTAAATCAAAAAGTGAAACAGACCAAATCCAATGTAAATATTGGCAACCTACGAAAGCTAGGAAACTTTACAAAACCTGAAATGAAAGTTAACTTTCTAAAACCAAACTTAAAAGTAAATCTTTGGAAATCAGATAGTAGTCTTGAAACCATGGAAAACGCAGGTGTGATGGATAATAAAGTCCAGGCAGAGTCTGATGGGGAAATGTCTTCAGATAATGACTCATACCACTCAGATGAATTCCTTACAAATTCCAAGTCTGATGAAGACAGGCAGCTAGCGAATTCTTTGGAGAATGTAGGGCCAATAGACTATGTTCTTCCTAGCTGTGGTATTATTGCTTCAGGCCCCCGACGGGGCAGTCGATCCCAGTCTATTAGCAGCACCGACATTAGCATTCCTGCTCCTTCAGAGATCACTGTTGCTCATGGAAGTGAGTTTGGAAAAGGCTATCAGTCTCCTTTGAAAAAAAGTCCTTCTGCTGACAACATACACAGACTGACGGGCGTTGCCAAGCCCGTGGATATGTACTGCCACAGATTTGTACAAGATGCACAAGGCAAAATGACCCAGCTATCAGAAACCAGATCTGCTTCTCAGCAGGTTAGCGAGGAAGGCAATCAAGTGACCAACCAAGTTTCTAATGAAGAAACCCAATCTGAATCAATGGAACAGATACCTTCTCGACCATCTCAATTAGATGTGTTGTCTTCTACAACAGGCCCACAGTTTTTGTCTGTTGAACCAGTCCTATCTCAAAAGACCCCCGACTCTGGATCCAGCCTGCTTGAACTTGAGACAGGGCTTCATATAACTCCTTCTCCTTCAGAGAGCAGCAGCAGCAGAGCCGTCTCGCCCTTCGCAAAGATTCGGAGTTCCATGGTCCAGGTTGCTACTATTACCCAAGCTGGGTTAACCCACGGGATAAACTTTGCAGTGGCAAAGGTTCAAAAGAGCCCTGCAGAACCTGAAATGGTTAACGAAGTCCAGCAAAATGAATTTAAGAATATGTTTACACAATGCCAGACACGAATAATTCAGATTTAGTTTTTAGCTACAAAGGATCGTTCTGTGGCTTTTATTTAATCAAAAAAAAAATGGTTTCACATATTAGGCTATTTTAACCTGTACTGTCTTTGACTCTAGGGATCACAAATTCTGTTTATTGGAAAAGTTTTAAAATTTAAAAGGAGTGTAAACCTGAGATTTTCCAAATTTGAGAGAACAGAAGTGCATCATCTGAGAATGTGTAGACCTGAGTAGTTTATGCACTACAGAGCGGTTTGTCTCTGAAAGTAATTCTGAAATGAATTACTTAGAGACATAACCTGAACCTTTTTTGGAGTGGGTGGTTGGGTGGGTTGAGTAAAGTACACACATCAAGGATGGTCATGGATACATTTAGAGGGTTAGTATTTTTTATAATTTTTGTCATTTCATTTTTGTGTATTACCTCTACAAGGTAAATACATTTAGTTTTTAGTGACTTTGAAGTATTGCTAGTATGGAGAAGCATTTGAATATAAAAAACGATTGGTTTAGTTTTTATGGCTCAACCGTTCCCTATGAAGAATTGAGGGTTATTGGCAGTCCAGTCAAGAAATGTATCCTCATTGGATCCTAGTTTCCACCCTCTTCTACTTAAACAACTGTAACATTTTCTGCCACCCTGTACACCCTGAAGTCTAGAAGCATTAAGACTTGTCAGTTATAAAACCTGAGACATCAGATGTGAATACCAGCAACCAGTGTCTTGCTGTTTTCAGGTAAGATACATATATTGGATATTGGTAATTCTTGAAAGAAGTCTTCAAGGTTTAATTTTTTTTGTAGGGGGCATTCCTTAACATCTTGTGTAGACTATTACAACTGTTGGAAATAGTCTGAAGCACAGTTGTGTTAAAATCGGTTTTATGACTAACCCTGACCACATGAAACCAGGGCTTCTAGAAGCCCATACATTCAGAAAGTTGTTCTTTATTCCAAACAAGTATTGGATTGGTATCTTTAGAGCCTTACTCTGTTGAAGTGATTCTCAGCTAAACATTACGTCTGTTGTAACTGATAAGTATTTCCACTTTTTTTATTTATTAATGGTATCTTTTTGTGTGTGTGTCTGTGTGTGTGTGTGAAGTGTCAAATCTTGTGACTATTTAAAAATAAAAGACCATTGTAACTTAAAGTGACAATGTATGAGAATTCCTTGAATAACAGCTTAAAAGATAATGGTTTGATTTTTTAATTAAAGAATTCACAAGCAAAGTAAGTTTTCTATAACTGAACACTTGGACCCAGACTTCCAAATACTTGACTCGTTTGAAGTGTTTTCATGACTTTAAAAATAATGAAATGGATCACAGACCATCACATTTTAAAACACAAACACTGAAACAATGTTTTATCCTGCTCTTATCAACTTTTCTTGAAAAATAAATTTTTTTTTAAAGATTTTATTGGGGAATTGGGGGAAGGGGAACAGACAAGTTGCTGTCCTTTTGTTCTTCAGT